TAAGGCACAAAGCCCCATAGCAAAAACTTAAAAAAAAAAAAAAAAAAAAGTAATTCAGTACAATAAAATTTAATGAAGTCTGGCCAGACATAAGCACTGAAAATTAGAATTGGTGAGCAAATCCCTTCCTAAAAGATAACAAGAATTTCATCCATGTAAAATCAAATGCCATGCATAAACCAAATACTACTATAAAAATTTAAAAGTAGGTTATACAATTCAATTGAGAAATAATGCAAAATGGAAAGGACATGTTTTGAAGATTCTAATTGTTTTAAGCTTAATGATAGATGTTCATGTGAATAAACTGTTTTACCATTTTACTACCAACCATCCATTTACTTTCTTATATATAGTACGTGTAAGTGAAAGATAATAATTTCATTAGGAATACTAAAAGAATTCAAATATCACAGAAGGTTTAATGAAGTTTCACTCCTTCCAATGTTCCACCCCAGAGACAACCACCTAAGCTGTGTATTCCTCCAGAGATTGTCTATCCATATAGAGGATGCATATAGGTGTATATAGATCCTTTTTTTCTTTATCTTTTTTCCTTTAAATTGCCAGAGGGTCCATGCACTCATCAGAGAGACAGAAAGGAACAGAGAGAAAAGCACCCTGCCATGAACCATACAATCACTTCTCTCCCTATTTATCCATCCTTTCAGGATTTGGGGCATGTACATATGCACCTAGCATGTTTTTCAAGCTGCTGGGGCTGGGACTCAAATCACAGCTGACCATTTGGGATTTGGCTTCCCTTAAGTCCCCCAAAATAGTATCTTATTTTTTATTTACATTTCTTTCCTTCTTTTTCTTTTTTTTTTTTTGGTGTCATAGGGCATGTGTGCTCACTAGAGAGAGGCAAAAAGAAGAAAAATGAAATCATCCCCGAGGGGAGATGTCCACACTGTAATTTTTCCCCCCTCTATTCTCCTCTCAGGATTTTGGGCATGCGCACACACATGCCTGGTGTGATTTTCAAGCCACCAGGTCTGCAACTCAAATGGCAGTTGATCATGTGGGAGCCCAGTGCCTTAACCATTATGACACCTGCTGGCCCCATTATTTGTATTTCTTCATTAACAAACTTCACTTTTTAAAAATTCATATTTAAAATTTATGTATAATTCCCTTGTTTTAATCCTTAGCATTTATATCATAAGGATTTTTTTTGGGGGGGTGGGGAAGAGGTTTTTGCTATAGGGCGCATGTGCTCACCAGACAGAGAGAGACAGAAAGCAAGAAATCACCCCCCAGGGGGGATGGCCACGCTGCAATCCCTTCTCCTCCATTCTCCTCTTGGGATCTTGGGCACACACGCACACACGCCCGGCGTGAGTTTAAGCCACCGGGTCCAGGACTCAAACCGCGGTTGACTATGTGGGAGTCCAGCGACATAGCCATTACGCTAACTGCTGGTCCCTATCATAAGGATTTTTCATTTTTGCCACTCTGATACATGTGAAATAGTGTCTGATATTAATTTACATTTCCTTAATTACTGATGCTGAACATCCTTTCAGATGTTTAAAAGACACTATTTCTTTACCTAAGAACTCCTCATTTATCTCCTATGCTATTGAGTTTTGATTTTTATCATTTTGCTATGAAAGTTTTTTTAATAGATTAAAGAATTTAACCTATTGATGTTTATTGTAATTATAGTTCCCAGTGTACTGTTTGTCTTTTTTTTTTTAAAGAGAGAGATTTTTGCTAAAGAGAGAGCTTTTGTGTGCACTCGCCAGAGAGACAGAAAGCAAAAAATCACCCCCAGGGGGATGGCCATGCTGTAATCCCTTCTCCTCCATTCTCCTCTCAGGATCTTGGACATGTGCACCTGGTGTGAGTTTTAAACCACCAGGTCCACGACTTGAATCATAGTTGACTAAGTGGGAGTCAAATGACATAACCACTATGCCATCTGATAGTCTCAGTGTTTGTCTTTTGATCAAGTAAAACTTTTTGACTTGGGGTCTGCTGGTGGCATAGTAGTGAAGGCAGCTAGATTTCACATGGCTGATTCTTTGGTTTGAGTTCCAGACCAGGTGGCTCGAGACACATGCCAAGCATGTGACTATGCATGCCCAAAATTCAGAGAGGAAAAGAGATTGCAGCATGGCCACTGCCCATCCCACCTGGGAAGCACTTTCTCATTTTCTTGCTCGCTCTCGCTCGCTCTCTCTCTCTCTCTGAAAAGTGCATGTGCTCTATACCAAAATTAAAAAAAAAAAGTTTGCTGTGGTGATTAGTTGCTGAATTCCCATATGGCTTACTGTGGTTTGAGTCCTAGACCCAGCAACTAGAAGATCACTCCAGGTGCAGGTGCATGTGCATGCATGCCCAAAATTCCAAGAGGACAATGGAAGAGAAGGGATTGTGACATGGCCATCCTCCCCAGAGGGTGATTTCTCACTTTCCCTCTCTCTGTGTCTCTCCAGTGAACACATGTCCCCTGTAGCAAAAACCTAAAGTTTGACTTGTATAAATTTTTTTATGCAGTTATATAGTCTTGCTATAATTTTATACTTTTTTTTTAGTACTCTTTTTTTTTTGGAGAGGTTTTTGCTATAGGGCGCATGCATTCGCCAAAAAGACAGAGAGAGACAAGGAGATAGAAAACAAGAACCACTGCCCCAGGAGGGGTGGCCATGCCGCAATCCCTTCTCCTCCATTCTCCTCTTGGGACCTTGGGTACGCACGCACACACGCCCAGCGTGAGTTTAAGCCACCAGGTCTGGGACTTGAACCACAGTCGACCATGTGAGAGTTCAGCGACATAGCCATTATGCTAACTGCTGGTCCCACTATAATTTTATACTTTTACATACTTTTTTTAAAAGAATCATTTGTTCAACTTCATTTATTATTACTATTTTAATTTGACCAGAGAGACAGAGAAAGAAAGTGAAAAAGCAAGCCACCAGGTCAGGACTTGAACCGTGGTTGGCCACGTGGGAGTCTAGCACCTTAACCACCACACCACTGCCAGTTTCTATTTTTATATAATTTAAAAGATAAGTTAAATAGAAAAGTTTCCACATAAAGGGCATATTTTTTCTTTTTCTTTTTTAAACTGCCAGAGGAAACATGTACTTATCAGAAAGACAGAGAGAAAGAGAAGAATAAAGCACTCCCCAAAGGAGTAGTCATGCCATGATGCCTCCTCCTCCACTGGTCCATTCTGTTAGGATTTTGAGCTCACATGCTAAGTGCCCAGCATGTTTTGCAAGTCACCAGGGCCAGGATTTGAACCATGGTTGACCTTGTGAGATCTGGCTTCCTTTATTGCTGAGCTATCATGCAAGCCCGAGAGCATTTTGAAATCATGAACTGAATCATGAACTAAATTAATGCATTTAATTAACACAGCTTTACATTATAGAAGATAACCAGGCAAAATAAAATAAATGGCACATACCCAAGGGATGAATCTCTGTTAAGAATATCAAGAAGTTTCTCTCTTACATCAGTCTCCAGTGTTTCTAAGTTATGTTGCTGTATAATGCTTCTGTCAACTTGAGGAGTCGTATAAATAATATCAAATGTAGGAGAAGGAAAATCAACCTTAAAAGTTTAACAGAAGTTGATCAAATTATAGTCTACGTATTTGCCACATAACTTCTTTGTCTTTAAGAAAACCAATTTTTATTAGCAATCAGGGTGGATTTAATTTAAATATTAAATTTGTTCTTGTCTTTTTGTTGAAAGTAATTATCATTGCAGATATTTCGTAATGGCGTGTATGTGTGAGTGTGTGTGGGTGTGTGTATTTCTTGTGATGGGTACAGTGCATGTTTTATTATTTCTCAGAAATAGGGAATGACTTATTGACATTTAAATTGAAGATAGATCTTGAGACTAAAATAATTGGCTACTTTAATAACAACCCAAATTATAGTATACACAAACTTTTTATAAAGAAATTTCAATTTAAACCTCTTCATATGTCAAGAAGTACCATTACCTGTAGCACTATTCTTTCCATGACATAGCCTTTTCTGGGAAGTGTTCCAGGAATAGAATTTGTATGTGATGAAGTCCAAAGATACAGAAGTTTGGTTCCGCATGTTAAAAACCTTCATGAAAGTAAAAATAATACTGTAATTTTTATTTCATTTAAAAAAGAATAGTGCAAAATTCATTTTATTTCATTCACAACTCACAACACATAGTAACGAATTTGAAATGTTAGCATTCCTTCCACCAAACTTAGGGGAAAAAAAATCATCTTTGAAAACATGAGAAGGAATGACTCCCTATGTGGACTAAGTAAACATACTGAAGTATGAGGTGGAAAAAGAGGGAGGGAGAATGAATGAATGTATCTTTTGAGAAAAGGTGCTGAGGACAGACTATAAGAAAGGTAAAGACTCAGAGTCACCTGTCCTGAAAACACCTATAAATAGGAAGATGAAGAGCAGTCTTTAAAGATTTTCTACAAAGTAAAGTATCTTAAAGTGGCAGTTTGTATTACAGAACTCCTTTCTTACTTTTATTATCAGAACAAAATCATGGGCCAAAAATACAAGTATTGTACCCAGTTTGGGACAAAGCATCAATCATGCAATAAGTTCTCTCTGTGCCCTCAACCAAGAGTCAGCAAACATCTTCTGTTAAGGGCCAGATACCAAATATTCTGGACTTTGTAGGCCATTCATTCTCTTTTGCAAATTCTCAATGCTGCTGTTGTAATGTGACATAGTCAGGAACAATACATACATACATACATAAATGTGCTATGTTTTTTTTTTTTAATTATCTTATTTATTTTTTTTAAAAAAGTCTGCTGGGAGTCCAGCCCCTTAACACACCAATCCACATGCTGGCCCTGTAGGTGTGCTATGTTTTAAAGACAGTAATTATAGAAACAGTGAGTTCAAGTATGCTGACCCCTGCCCTAGATTATTGTCTAAGGGTCTACTTACATTAAAATATTTATTCAAAAATATTACTGAATCTTTTCTTTTTAGAGAAAGATTTTTGTTATAGGGCAAATGTACTTGCGAGAGAGACAGAGAAACAGAAAATGAGAAATACACCCCAGGGAGGATGGCAGTGCCACAATCCCTTCTCCTCCTAGGATCTTGGGCACACAAGCACACATGCCCGGCGTGAGTGTCAAGCCACCGGGTCTGGGACTTAAACCACAATCAGTCATGTGGGAGTTCAGCGATGTAACTGCTATGCCATCTGCTGGTCCCAATATTACTGTCTCTTTATGCAAAGAAATTTCTGAAAAATCACAAGATATATAAAAGCAAGAAACTATAAACTTTCATCAAATCTTTATTTTATTAAAACAGCAAAATCTTTTCTAAAACTAGTCTTAACATTTTCTTTTGACAAATTAACAGACTTTGTATCTCTGATACATTATAATCTGTCATTTCTTTTTCTAATCTCCATTTTGAAATTTATTTTTATGTATGTATGCACATGTGAGTATGTATGTTAGTTTGCCAGAAGACACGTGTGCTCACAGGAGAGAAACAGAAAGGGAAAGTGAAAAAGCACCTCCAATGGAGATGGTCTTACTGCAATCTCTTTCCTTCCATTTCTCCCTCCTTTAGGGATTTTGGGTACCTGTGCACACCTGGCATTGTTTTTCAAGCCACTGGGTCCAGTAGTTGGACCATGCCATCAGCCATGTTATAGCCAACAACTGGCCCAATATAATCTATCATTTCTTTTTTTCTTTCTTTTTTCTTTTTTTTCTTTTTTTTTTGCTACAGGGGCGTGCGCTCACCAGACAACAGAGACAGACAGAGACATAGAGATAGAAAGCGAGAAATCACCCCCCCAGGTGGATGGCCATGCCATAATCCCTTCTCCTCCATTCTCCTCTCGGGATCTTGGGCACGCATGCACACACGCCCGGTGTGAGTTTAAGCCACTGGGTCCGGGACGCGAACTGTGGTCGACTACGTGGGAGTCCAGTGACATAGCCATTACACTAACTGCTGGTTCCATAATCTGATTTCTAAGAACCATCACCACCCCCACTAGAGGTAAATCCTGATCATATTATTTCATTTATAAATATGGTTATTTGTCTCGGAACAATAAATATTGTTTCTTTCCTTTAAAAATAAGTACAATACCGAGGCCAGCAGGTGGCGTGGTGGTTAAGGTGTTGGAAGCTCCCACATGGCTGACCATGGTTCGAGTCCCGAATCTGGTGGCTTGCTTTCTCACTTTCCCTCTCTCTCTCTTACTGTCTGTCTCTCTCTGGTCGAAATAAAATAAATGGATAAATAAACAATATTAAATAAATTATTTTTAAAAAGTATAATACCATTATTCCCCCTAAAATAATTAATGATAATTATCTAAGATCATAAAATATCTAGTCAGTATTCAGACTTCTGTGATTATCTCATAAATGTTTGGTTTTTTACCAGCTGGTTCATCTGAAACAGGATCCAAGTAAGGTCTAACACTTGTGTTTGGCTAATACGTCTTTTTAAACATCTTTTAATTCAGGGTCAGAAAAATTCCATCCTGCTACGTGGTTCTGTAAGTAAACTTCTGTTACACACAGACATGCCCATTCATTGATGCTTCTGTAAGAACAGCAGCTCCTCTGCGGGTTGTAAAGCCTAAAATACGGTGTCTATACGGCACCGTTAACAGGAAAAGTTTGCCAACTCTTTTTTTTTAATCTGTATGTTCCTCTCTTCTTTTTCCCTTGCCATTTATTTGAAGACACAGATCTTTTGTTTGATATAACTTTATATCCTAAATTTTGCTGATCACATTTCCTCTAGTGTCTTCTAATATGTCCTTTTATATTTTCTGTAAAGTAGCAATTAGATCTAGAGGCCTGATCTGATTCACATTTAGTTCTTTGGCACGAATACTTAATATTGTATAGGTGGTATTATACACTCCTTCCTAATCCATCAAATAAAGAGGCACACATTGTGTTTGGTTTCTCTCTCTCGGTGACATTAAGTTTTGTTTTGTTTTTAAGAGAGAGCTATTTGCTATAGGGTGTGTACACTCACCAGAGACAGTTCTCTCTCACTTTCTCTAGTGAGAAATCACCCCCCAGGAGGGATGACTATACCACAATCCCTCTCCTCCATTCTCCTCTCAGGATTTCGGAGACACGTGTACACATTTTTATTTTTTTTTTGGGGGGGGGAGACGCTTTTGCTACAGGGTGCATGCGCTCACCAGAAAGAGAGAGACAGAGAGACAGAAAGCGAGAAATCAACCCCTGGGGGGATGGCCACGCCGCAATCCCTTCTCCTTCATTCTCCTCTTGGGATCTTGGGCATACAAGCACATGCACCCGGCATGAGTTTAAGCCACTGGGTCTGGGACTCAAACTGTAGTCAACTATGTGGGAGTCCAACGACACAGCCATTATGCTAACTTCTGGTCCCCACATGCACACACTCATGTGAGTTTCAAGCCACAAGATCTGAGACTCAGACCATCATCGGCCACATGGGAGTCCAGCACCTTAACCACTATGTCACCTGCTGGCCCCGATGTTACCAATAATCAGGGACGGAGGAGTCAGATAAAGAGAATTCAGGAAGGAAAAAATATGTAAACTCTGAAGCTGGAGAACAGTAGGAAAGGAATAAAAAGGGAAAATGGAGATCTTTCATTAATATCAAGGGAACTTGTAAGACCATAGTATTAGGTCATAATATAGGACTTAACGTGACTGACGGTAAAAGAACCCTTGGCCACTGGCTTTCCCCTGGACCACTGAGGGGAAACAGTCCTCTGCATACCCACCCCGAGGTAAGTTCAAACTACAGCAGAACTTGAGTTTCCTCTGATCTATGTCTCTGAACTGACCTCCATTTATCACAATGGAAACACTGAGGCAGACCACTGGCTAATGTATGTCACTATTCCCATTCTCTCCTCCAGCCAATTCTGACGTGCAGATGTGTCTACAGTAACTCATCATCAACATTCAGTAATACTTACCGTTTAAAGTCAAAAAGAGGTAAGGAAACTTTGCCCAAAGCTTCTGGCCCCTTTCTCTGCTTATTAGAATCAGGGGAACTTCCACTGCTCTGATTTAAAATTCCAAAAAGAGTAAGATGAAGAAGTGATTCTAATGGCAATTGTGATATCTGGATGGGAAAAATGATTCTATGGGGGAAAAATGTATTAATAGAAAGAGCAAATTAGATTGAATGTGAAGTTCAACCCTTTAAGGAGACTGATAATTTTAGGTATTTGACTTATTTTATCTAGTAATCTTTAATACTGAGTAAACTTTAGTTTAGTAGTAAGAATGACTAACTCATATTGTTAAAAACCTTGAACAAATTTTATTAACAGTATAAAATTTCAAAATATAAGGTTTCTTTCTTTAAAAGTTTCTAAGTGACTTTACTTAAGATTTACAGTACTAATTTCCAGGCAAAATACTATTAGTCATTTCGATTTCCTTCAGGAAAAACTAGATAGTTGGTTTTGTGGGTGTTTTTTTTGTTTGTTTGTTTTTGTTTTTTAGTTTTTTTGCTATAGGGTGTGTGCACTCGCTGGAGAGACAAAGAGAGAGAGAGAGACAGCAAGGAATCACTCCCAGAGGGATAACCATGCTGCAATCCCTTCGCCTCCATTCTCCTCTCAGGATTTTAGGCACACAAACATGTCCAGTTTGAGTTAGGAGCTGCCAGGTCTGGGACTCAAACCGCAGCCAGACATGTGGGAGTCCAGCACCTTAACCACTATGCCACTTGCTGGCCCACTAGATTGCTGTTTATGAGCACTTTTGTTTTGTAATTTAAGTATGCACATGTACGCACAAACAGACATGCAAGATGTTTACTAATGCATTTTTTCTAAAGTTTAAAAGAACATGCTAGGTCACTGTATGGTGATAACTGTTGAAAATAGGGTGACACTTTCTAATCTATATGCATTTTTTTTATTACTTGACTACTTTCATAAACGTATAACATTTCTGTAATTTGAAAAATAAAAAACAGGAAATCATTTAATAAATGTGGAATAAACAGTAAAAGATTCCGCAACTGCTGATTTGCCTAAATAATGAGAGTCCCCTTAGTTTAAAAATGATTATTTAGAAAAACACCATCTTGTACATGGATTTAAGATAACTCTTTTTTGGTTATCCTGTTAATCAAGAGCCGAGATTCTCATATACCATTACGGAATACATACTAAAATAAACAACGTTATAAAACATCATCTTTTGTGAATTCTATGTAAATTCCTGTCTTTAAATTGACAAAGTCTAGGAAAAAGTAAGAGCAGGTTTTTGTAATTTAATAATTTTTGGATTTAAAAGAGTATTTCAGATTTTTAATGAGAATTTCACTTTATTTTATAGAATCATAGAAGAGACCTAAAGACATCAGTAAGAACATAATGAACTTCAATGGAAATGGTAATAAAAATTAATGCTGGGATGCATACATTGAAAAAAAATAAAGAACAGGGCACAGTGAAAATGAATAAAAAGCCAAAAATTTTACTTACAGTTCATCCCATTTAATAAGATAGAAGAAATTCTTATAAGTGCCAACCTTCTTTGACTGAATTGGTTTAAAAAGATCCTTTCCATTGTGAGACAGGGAGCACACCAAGTAGTATTTTTCATAACTGAGAAAAGAAGAGTTTAATTTGACTTCTACCTTGATAATACAAATTAATGAATATAAATACATTAACAATTCTTCCCCAAAAATGACTAATATCTGAAAATAATTTGGTACCATTAATTTTAATTTTTAGAAATCTATCTGAAATTTAACCATTGCCCATTCTAACATAAAGAAGAAAGGAGTCAAGAGGGGACATGTATCCCTAGGTGGCAGTCTAAAGGGGTACCATAATGAGAGAATTTATTTCAATTTTGTACTCATTTAGTCACTAGCTTTAGATTTTATTTGAATGACATTGAATAATGTATTTATTCATTTCTAGATAAATTCTGGAGTAAAGTCCAAACATCACCGTCCCTAGGTGCCATTTTTGTTTACGAAGGCACTGAAATAGAGTCAGCTGAGTACATTAATAGTGCATGGGGCAAACATGGCATTAACCCAAGTCTTTTTCTTTTTTTTTTTTTTTTTTTTTGAGAGGTGTTTGCTATAGGGCACGTGAGCTCGCCAGAAAGACAGAGAGAGACAGAGAGATAGAAAGTGAGAAATCACCCCCTGGGGGGATGGTCACGCCGCAATCCCTTCTCCATTCTCCTCTCGGGATCTCGGGCACACACGCACACGCACCTGGCGTGAGTTTAAGCCACCGGGTCCAGGACTTGAACCATGGTCAACTACATGGGAGTCCAGCGACATAGCCATTATACCAACTGCTGGTCCCAAGCCAAGTCTTTCTAGTCTATTAGGACACTTCTCCCCATGGGGACATATATTTTTGTATTGTCCCACGAGACAGCAGTACCTTAACCCCTAATTGTGGTTAAGTAAAGAGCTGGTTAGATACTGTCAGGCAATCTTGTAAGGCAGAAGTCTTGGGTTCAATGAAACTGTATTTTTTTTAAAAGAATTAATTTTATTTATTCATTCATTTACTTTAATTTGACCAGAAAGAGACACAGAGAGAGACAGAGAGGGAAAGTGAGAAAGCAAGCCACAGGTCTGGGACCCAAACCACGGTCACCCATGTGGGAGTGAGTGTCCAGCGCTTTAACCACCACACCAACTGCTGGTCCCAAAACAGCATCTTATTCATATTCTAACTTACTACTAGGCTTCATGTTAACCATTTTGTTCATATATATGATCTGTTTCACTAGCTTAAAAAAATAACACCCTAAACTTATTGATTACTTGGAACCAGCAGATGGTGTAATGGTTACGTCACTGGACTCCTACATGGTCAACTGCAGCTCAAGTCCTAGACCCAGAGACTTAAAACTCACGCTGGGTGTGTGTGTGTGCATGCTCAAGATACCGAGAGTAGAAAAAATGAAGGAGGGGAGAAAGGGTTGCACTGTGGCCATCTCCACTTGGAGGGGGTGGTTCTCACTTTCTGTCTCTCTGGTGAGTGCACACATCTTACAGAAAAAAAATCTCTCAAAAAACAAAAACAAAAACAAAAAACTTTCTGCTTACTTTCCTCAACTTCATTCCACTTCCCCCTAATTACATCATCATTTCATTAACTTTCTATCTTTTTTTTTGGAGAGGTTTTTGCTATAGGGCGTGTGTGCTTGGTAGAAAGACAGACAGAGAGACACAGAGAGAGAAAGTGAGAAATCACTCCCCAGGGGGGATGGCCACCCCATACTCCCTTCTCTTCCATTCTCCTCTTGCGATCTTAGGCATGCACACACAAGCACCTGGTGTGAGTTTAAGCCACAGGGTCTGGGACTCGAACTGCGGTCAACTACATGAGTCCAGCAACACAGTCATTACGCTAACTGCTGGTCCTAACTTACTTTCTATCTTAATATTACTGTGGTCTGTGCTATCTTTTGCTGGTGGGCATTTGTTCTCCTCAATAGTGTTCCATAATTTACCTGTGTATATGTATGTGAATGTTGTCTGCAAATAGGTATGAATACATGTGCATGTGTGCGTGGAGAAAATGTAGAAGGTACTATCTTGTAATTACTGAATAGAATGAAATACCTTCCAAAAAAGGTAATACCTACTTATTTATTTAAAATTTTGCTAGAGGGCATGTGTACTCACTGCAGAGAGGCCCAGGCAGGAAGGAAGTCGGGAGAGAAAGCATCCCTTCTAGGGGATGGTCATGCTACTATATCTTTTCCTCTATTTCTCCTTTCAGGATTTTGGGCAAGCATGAATGTATGCTCAGAGTGTTTCCCAAGCTGCCAGGTCTGGGACTTGAACCACACAATCAGTTATATAGGACCCTGCTGTCTCAACCACCATGCTATCAGCTGGTCCCATTTATTTATTTTCTTCAAAAATTTGCCAGAGAGTGCATGAGCTTGCCAAACAGAGAAAGAGAAAGAGAAAAAAGTGGTCCTTAATGTGGCATGGTCATGCTGCAACCCATTCTCCTCCATTCTGTCAGCCTGTCAGGGTTTGGGGCATGCATGCATATGCATCCAGCATGTATTTCAAGCTGCTAGGTCTAGGATTTGAGCTGCATGTGTGGCCATGTGGAACCTAGCTCCTGTAACCGCTAAGCCACAGAGCTGGGCCAGTAGTACTCATTTAAATACAAGTTTCAGGAAGGTAGGTTTTCTGTTACCTTG